TGTTTTTATCCTAAACTAGAGGCCCGGTGCACAGGATTTGTGCACTGGTGGGGAGGCATGGTCTGCAGGAGGCTTGGCCCTCTGTGGGAGCTCTGAGCTGAGTGGCACTCTCACTGTGGGAATGCACTGACCGCAGGGGGCAGCTCCCGTGTTGAGCATCTGTCCCTTGGTGGTCAGTGTGCATTATAGTGACTGGTTGACAATCACACGTGCATTTACATTTTAGATAAAGAGAAAAAATATTGTGCTGAATAATTACAATTGTATCAAATCCATAACACTGTTCAGTCCCTGGGCTTTTATTATATTGGATAATTTTATTTTCACAAGTACTATCAAATTTATGGTCGCTTTTTTCAAAAATTAAAGCATTATTGATCATACAATAAATTTTCAATCTACCTCTATCTTAGTCCATTTAAACAACTTTACAAAAGGAAGACAAACAATCCAATAAAAATATGGGCAACAGACCTAAATAGAAACTTCTCCTAAGTGGACATACAGATGGCCAAGAGACATATGCAAAAATGTTCAAGGTCACTAATCATCAGAGAAATGCACATTAAAATGACAATGAAGTACCACCTCAAATCTGTCAGAATGGCAATCATCAACAAATCAACAAATGACAAGTGCTGGCAAGGATATGGAGAAGAGGAAAACCTTGTACACTGCTGGTGGGAATGCAGACTGGTGCAGCCACTGTGGAAAACAGCACGGGGACTCCTCAAAAATTAAATATATAACTCCCATTTGACCCAATGATCCCACTTCTAGGAATATATCCTAAGAAACCCAAAACACCAATCAGAAAGGATATATGCACCACTATGTTCATAGCAGAGCAATTTACAACAGCTAAGATCTGGAAACAACCCAAGTGCCCATCAGTAGATGAGTGGATAAAAAAAGCACATTTACACTATGGAATACTACACAGCAGTAGAAAAAAAAAAAGAAAAAAAAAAGGATCTCTTACTCTTTGAGACATCATGGAGGGACATGGAGAACATTATGCTAAGTGAAATAAGTTAGTCAGAGAAAGATAAGTATCACATGATCTCATTCATATGTGGAATCTAATGAAAAAAAATAAACTGATGAACAAAATAGATCCAGAGACACAGAATGGGAGACTGATGAATCTCAGAATCTCAGAAGGAACGGGGTGGGGGGTTGAGTGGGGAGATGAAGAGTGATTAATCAGGAACTTATATGCATATATGCATAGCCCATGGACACAAACAATGGTGTGGGGAAAGTCTGAAAAGGGTGGCTGTGAGGTAAAAGGGATGGGAGGAGAGACACATCTGCAACAATAAAGATGAGAAAACAACTGCATTCTATTACTGTGAGTACTTTTATATGTTTTCCTATTTAATTACCTGTGAGTTATCAAATTTTCCATGATGTAACTTTTACCAGTTTCACTAATCCTGAATTCATGTTTGTTCTCAAGAGTGGAAGAGTATACTGTTGAGGAGACATCACGACACAACTCTGTCTACACAGGGAAGAAGAGAGGTTTTCCCTACAAGTATACCCGGGAACCTCCTGCCAGGACCTGGGTCCCTGGCCCTTCCTTAAAGCTCACCATAGTCTTTAGTTCTGCACACCCCAGGATCTACCAGCTGACTTCTGACCATTGCTTAGTCTCACTATCCTTCAGTAATCCTAGGTGATTCATCACTGCACTGTGGACTCCAGTAATGACACTATCCAAAAATCACACAATTCCGTAAATAAATGAGGAATCATCAGAATGGGTCTGGAGAGATAGGAAGAGACCCTGGAAGGGCATTTCTATGGCATCTTCGCTGGCTCTGCCTTCCTACCCTCCACACCAAGTTGGCTACTTCCCATTGAAGCAATCTAGGAGCCAGAGATGGAAGGGAATTGTTTTTTTTTAAGTTGAGTAGAGAAGAAAGTCAAAGATACTTTCTTTGACTTTATTAAGATATTAAGAATCAGAAACAAGTTTTGCAATGAAGGCTGACACAAATTAGTGTCCTGGATAGGCAAGACAAACATTGAAGACTGGACAGGGAAATCAAACCATGCAGTGTGAGACACAAAGCATCATTGAAAAATGACACACATTATGCAGCCAAATCAAGCATTGTGGCTGCATGCTACTAGTAAGCCTGTCATCTAAGTCTCAATTGGGTTCCACATGCACCATCAACCTTCTGATTATAATGTGTATACCCATGCATGTTTGCTCATAGAAAAAACTGAACCTTGAGATTCTAAGAATTCTTAATGTTAATAGGTGTGTATTTGTACATGTACTAGTATGTGTATATGTATATACATGTATAAGCATATAATCAGCCCCATTAGCTTGGTTAATATGATTTAATCCTGTGGTAGGAGTATTCTCTGTGTGCTGACATCATGAGACTATCAGGTTAGGGTCCAAATTGAGACTGTAGTAAATTCTTAAAATTAATAAAACCACCTGGCATTCCCATAGCTTTTTCTCCTTTGACATATT